TATAATTTTACCAAATTCCTTAAAGTGATCTACATACGGTATGTTCAACTCCTTCAATCATCCTCTACTTTCCCACTTTTAATTGTCCTCTTAAAATGTAACATTCATAACTAAACACAGTACTCAAATGTAATCTGAAAGGTGATAGAATACAGTAAGATACTATCAAAATCAGAACTCTAGACTTTATATCTCTCTTAATACAGCTGATTTTTGCATTCCCTTTTTTTGAATACTATGCTGGAAACATACTCATCTTGTAGTCCACTAAAACCTCAGAATTTCTGTTTCCTCCACATAACCTATTTTCCTGCCATGCTACACCATCAAATTACTAAAATTAAGTTTGACCCAGATGCATGATTTTTCATTAACTTTCTTTAAATTCTACTTTATTAGATTTGGACAGTCATTCTATCCAGTTGAATTATTTTCATATTTAGATTCTGCCTTCCAATATGTTACCTAATTTTGAAAAGTTAATAAGCAAATCATTTTGAGTCAAAGAACATGAGTTCAAATGACATCTCTAATACTTGCAACCAATGCATATTCGAGAAAATCATCTAAATTCCCCAGTTTCAGTTTCATCTCAAGGTAGAGAATAGTGGATTACATGAATTCTGAGTTCATTTTTAATTGATAAATGACCTTAGTATTCTAAAGCCCAACTACATCATTGTCCAATTAATTGATAAATAAATTTAAGTAGCACTAGGATTAGGACAGATTGCCATTTCCCTGGAGACTTTCCTCCAAACTAGAACTGGACTATTTTGGGAGGTAGTAGTATCCTAGTCCCTAAAGATAATCAAGTCATGGTAGGACAGTCATGTTGGAAGGTTGTAGAGACATATTTCATTCAGGCACAGTAGAATTACACGGTCTTAGAGGTCTCTTCTAACTGTCATTTTGTGATATTACCTACTTTTATTGACAATTTGGTGAAACAGTTATGAATTAATCTGCAATAATATTCTGTGGCCATCATTTTTCATCTTTCCACAAACATTATATACAATATTTTCAAATGCTTTGCTGAAATCTTTGGAAAATTCATCTTCACCTTTTCATTGATCTACCATTCTAATAATCTTTTCTCTCCACCTTAGAAAAAGGAAATGAGGTTTGTTTTTAATTATTTTTTTCTTGATGAAGTCATGGTAATTGTGTAATCACTTCTTTTCGTAGCTGCTTCCTGACTGTTTCTTCAGAACATTTCAGAATTTGCCATGAATCTGTCAAACTCACTGGACTATAATTTGCAGATTCATCACTGTTCTCAATTTTTTGAAACTTAGAACAAAATGTATTCTTCAGTGGTCCTGTGGCACTGCTCCCACTTTGCACACAGTCCCAAAAACAAATAACATTGACTTAGCAATCACACTTGCCAAGTCTTTTAGTACCTTCAGAAACTGGCTGACCTTGGTGACTTGACTCATTGAGGGCATCTGAGTGCAATTTTAATATCTATCTATCTATCCATTCATTCATTTTTTTTAAATTTTGCCTCCCTATTCATCATTCTTCTTCTGCCCTTCTGTCCTTTCTGATCCAAAGATAGTTCTCCTTGTTAGAGAAGATAAAATCAAAATAAACTTTGAATTATTCTGTCCTGTCTCTCTTTTTTACTACTTATGTTCACATTCATCCTTAGTAGCCCCACAATGATTTTTTCCAAGATAACATAAAAAAAATGCTTGATTTTAAATGCACATGCCCTATTGACGAAGCATGGTCAAATCTTAATTCATACGCTCATATTTTTCCTTGCATGTTCATTTTATTCAAATCATTTGATTTTAAGCAAGTCACATATCCATGCTAAGCTTCAAGTTTTTCATCTGTAAAATGAACATAATAATACTTTCCTTGCCTACTTCCTAGGGGCTACTGTGAATATTTAATATAATAATGGATTTAGCATGTCATACTTGAAAGACCCCTTCTATCAAAGCTAGAAGATTTATCAATTTTTGCAATAGTACTTAAGATAAACATTTTTCCATATTGATATGTTTGAAATTGAGCAAATAGTAAAATCTTACATGGGCCTACTTATATATTTAGTCTATCAGTTTTTCCTTAGATTATTTAAAATCTCTACAGACAGTTATAATAAGATATTTCATTATTCAGGTTAATTCTTAAAAGACATATTTCAAATATTATTGTCTCAACTCTTTCCAGGTATTAAAAGGAGCAACTCTACTATGTCCTTGTTTTGTTAAAGAAGGGAAATCTTTCCATTCTCACAAACATTCAACCCTGTGGACTTTGACCTCTGACCTCTATGTAAAAATAGCATTGCTGTACATATTATCTAATATACTGTGTACTGAAAATGAAACATAGAAACGAGATTTAATTATATGCTCAATGTTAACAAATTAGAGTACTTAATTCTGAACTACCTAAGGTGGAGATAAATATTTGACTTATTATGCCAAGTAAATAATGAAGTAATATGAAGTCAAACAAAATACCAGCCTTTTCTCTTCCTTCCTTTCAGGAAGTTTCATATATTAAAGTGGGAGGTTATAATATTAGTTTTTTACTGGAATGCTAGAAAAGATTTGTTAGCATGGTCATTTTGAAAAGTAAATGATCTTTTTAAATGAAGTGAAATAATGCCTTATTTCTCTCTCAACTGTGATAACAAAAAACCTTGTTTTCACACCATTGTCATGGTAGAGCTTCCACTAAACTAAAAAAAAGGACAACAGCATTTTGTAAAACTGTTGTTGAAAAAGTTGTCCTTTTGTCTTTTTAAGGAATTCCTTCACTGAAGATATGCATATGTATATTCTTTCTGTTATTGTTAAATTTGTAATATATGGATGGTGTAATGTAGGTTTTTTAAGAAATTATATTTTATCATCTATCCTGAATATTTAATTTTAGACTCAAAATATGTAACAATTTCTTATTTTATTTCAAACAAAGAAAAAGAATAATACTTTAAAAATATGCATGAATGTAGAATTATATTTGGAAATAGTTTTCAACAAGACTAGCTAATCTGATCTGATTTTATTTCATGTATTTGATTTATAAAATGTTACTTTAATATCTAAGTATGTGCATGTATGTTTATATATGTATATATACAAATGTATATGTGTGTTGAGTATATTTGTTGTGTATATATAAGTGTGTATATTTGGTACTGCTAGATTTTTACATTTTTATATCAGTTTTCCCTCTCTCCCCAAAAAAACATACTATATTCTTAAATGAAGATTTGAGGATGTTAGTATATCTCCTTTGATGACAGAAGTGAAAAGCCCATTATCCCAAAAGATAAAGTGTGAGTTACATAATGTTGGCAAACAGCAGCTAGATATTCTGGCAATAATACTCCTATCATTTTTTCATGTAGCATAATAGAAAATGCATAGGCAAAGTTAGGCCATGTTGATATTCAGTGAGTGAACTGAGTCACCAAACATCTGCCATGTTCATTCCAGCTATATTCTTGACTAATTATGTTTGTCATGAGCAAAGCGATAATATATGATCTTCATTTAGGATGTAACAAAAAATTGGTAGGTCCTGATAAGCTAATCCATATTTCTATTTAAAGTTTATAATGATTACAGCAATTAAGAGGTGAGGTAATTGTGTCTTGGAGGTAATAGCTGTTAACCAATAAAAATGGGGAAATAAAAAGCAGGTGTTGTGTCATCATGGTATAAAGGCCTTCCTGTCGCCCTGAAGGCTATGCCAGTGGAATTTAAGCCTTGTTTGGTGTTATGAAACCGTGAAGTCTTTGAATATGGGCATGGGGTTAGTATATTTATTTTTTGTCATCTACACTGATCAAAAGGGTTCATTCAGTAGAAGACTAGCCACCAGTTGATTATTTGTTATCAGCCAAAGCTAATCACAAAAGCAGTCAACAGAAGTGTAGAGTGGTAATCAACTGCATCAATAGATGAAATCACGGATCCTCAACTTATTATTTTTATTTCAAAAGAAATTTTCAGAAAATGTTCAATCTGTAGGTGGAATAGCTGCAAAGGACTTTGAAATGTTTTCAAAATGTATTTCCATGCCAATACTGATGGGAATTATGGTTAGATAATTTTGCCTATCATAATGCATGAAGAATAAGGCCAATAACAAAGAATTCTATCATTTTATGTTCTCTAAAGAGGTTCCAAAGATGGCTTATGGATATTTTAACAATGAAGGAGATGTACTAAAGTGCTAATCATCATGGGGAGAAATTAATCACTGTCATCATGCCAAGGCTAACACCTCAAAGAGTTTTCATTGATTGAAGTGATAGAACAAAAGTATGCTACTCAGGGAAGCTTTAACTTGCACAATGGATTTAAAAAATATTTAACTATGGTTCCAAATTAATATTCAATACCCATTCTTGGCAACTTTTTTTTCTTTTCTTTTCTCTGTCTTTTTATACTTTCTTCCCTTTTGCACATCTTCATTTCCTTCCATTATTATATCCACCTCTTGCACATGCAGAGAAATGTTCACTTAACAATCAAAAGCTCCCAGAGGAAGAGCATTGTTTAGATGTAAATGACACTGAAAATAGACATGATATATACATATTATATATAATATATATATTTCTTTTTAATTGATGTTAATTTTTAAGTAAGAATAGGCTTTTAAAAATAGGGTATTTTCTTTTATAAAAAATGAACATGCATTTACAGTATCACCCAAACTCCATCATTTATAACTTTGAGAACATGTGGAAATACAGAAAAAGAGTCCATTTTTATTCACCCTTAAAATGAAACAATGTCAGTGACTACAGTGGCTAATTTATATCCCCTGTAAAGCCCCTCCTGATGCCTAGGACATGTATCTCATTAATTGTTGAAATTAAACTATTTTCCCCTAAAACATTGGACACCAATCTGTCCGTACTTTCCTCAGCTGAATAATTATGTCTGGTTTATCCTCAGGTTGAGAGTTTTTTCATTGGTAAAATGAAAGGCTCAAAATGCTTTTTATCATACCTGATTGTGGACTTTGTTTGGGGATTTTGGCTGCAGCTTGAGGGCTGGAAGTGGAGCGCATTCGCTGATTAGCAGAATTATGGATGCTACTGGGAACGGCTGCAGAGATATTCTTTCGGGGCTTCATGTCTTGTAACCACATGGGAGAGGCTTCAAAGGCCTGCATTCTCCGAGAGTGGCTGTTTGCATTGACTTTAAGGTAGGCTTGGGCCTTGTATTCTTGAAGATCTCCATAGTTGGCATCTGTCACTCGGCACTCATATAAGCCTTCATCCTTTTTCCTTACTTTGGAAATCTGAAGCTTGTGGGAGATGTCATTCCCTTGTACTTTTACTGTCTGTAAAATTTTCAGAGGAAAAGAAATGTATTGTTGTGTAAAATTCTGTTCAACGTTTTGTCACCTATACATGCTTATATATAAAATGGATAAATTTTAATAGACTTGGGGACATAGGATCAGAGAACTTTAATTTTCAAGTGCAATTAAAAATAATAAAAAAGTACATTATCTTTTTCATCTCAATTCAATAAATATTTGTCAAAAGCCTACATTTTGCAATGCACATTGGTAACTAGGAATAATATGACAGTATTGGATGTACATGATGGTCGTACATTTCGGATTCAAGCTACCCATCTCCAGGTTGTTAGCCAGGTGATCTCCATTTCCAAAATTAAAGTATCTGGTCCTATTATTATCTAATTGTGTGAGCAACTCTATGATGGTTAGTTCTGGAAAGTATATTAGGAGATCAAAGAAGGGTCAGTCTATGCTGAGTTCATAGATTATTCCAGTATACAATACAAATTAAAATGTGTTTTTTTTGGTCCAAAGGAGGAAGTGAGTGAGACATTACAGAAGGATGTAAATAACTATAATTCTGATAAATTGAAAGAAAAATAGTCGAAATGCAAGCACTACCAAAGTTCTTACGATATATACTACATTAAATAACTATCATTTAAATAGCACTTAAATGTTTGCAAAGTACTTTCCATATTTCTTTTGATCCTCACAAGAATTCTTTGAAGCAAGTACTATTACCATATACTTTTACCTATACAGAAACTGAGGCTGACAGAGCTTGTAAGTGACATGTCCAGGGTCACACAGCTAGTAAATGTTTGGAGTAAGATTCAAACCTGGGTCTTCCTATGTCCAAATCCATCATCTTATATATTATGCCACTTAGGTACCTCATACATATAAGTTATGTACTCAGTTCGCATAGGCTTTTCTATTGGAAAAGATATTTCTTTTTTTAGCTTAATCCAAGTCAAATATGATGCACATAATAGTATGCAATGATAAGGATAAGTGGTTTTATAAGCTTGACTGGAGTCAATGAAGTGACTCTAAGATTGGCTGCCACATATTTTCAAGTCCTACTTTTGACACAAATTGGCTATGTAACCCTGGACAAGTCATTTAATTGCTCATTGCCCCAGGCAAATTTCTGAAACTATAATGTACAGAGAAAGTACTAATCTGAATTAATAGAGAATATTTTCTCAATAAGAGTTTCTTTACATATCAATGAAATTACAGGTATAGGCTGTACATGTGTATGTATATTTTTATGATTATATCTATATGGACATGTGTATTAATACATCTTTCTATCACAGAATTTGAATAAACTAAAGTTCATTAAGTTTAAATATATGTGTGATACATATGTATGCATATATGACTATATATGTATATGCATATGCATATGTGTATGTGTGTATCTGGTGAATACAGATCCAGATTTGTATACAGGAAGATCTGGGTTCAAATCATGCTTCTGATATTTACTAGTTAGTTTTTCATGTTACAAAAAAAACCTATAAATTTTAATTTATGAATGGAATGTCCACACTGGATAGTTATTCAAAAAGTTGAAATTACAAGTCAAGACTTTTGTAACTGAATACCTCTGTTCCCTTATTTATAAATAATAACCATAATTCCTAATAATTATTCAGGGCTTTTGAGCCTTTAATGTTGCTTAACATATACCTCATTTGATCCCTACAACTAACCAATAAGATAGCCAAGTAACTATTATTATAGTAGTTTTGCAGTGAAGAAAACTAAAGTTCAAAATGTTTAATTGACTTTTCTGAAATCATACCATCAGTCAGTAGCAGAACTGGCCCTAGGACTCAAGTCTCCTGGTGTTGTCTAGTGATCTCTATTAAACTATGTGATTTTTTTTATAAGTTATTATCTGTGGATATAAGGTAGTAATATCTAGATAGTAAAAACCTTACAACAATTCTGCAAGGTGAGTACTATAAATTTTATATATCCCATTTGACAGAGGCTAAAATTGAGACTCATGAAAGGGAAGTGACTTGTCCATACTCATAAATTAGTGTCAGAGGATGCATTTGAACTCATTTTCCTGACACCAATTCCAAAATTTTGTCCATCATACTATAAACATCTGTGTGTGGAAGAATGACAAGGTTTATGTGACATTTTTATGAGTCAATGTGTTTGAAGTACAGATAATAAGATATAGAAACAAAGTCAGGATGGTTGCACACACTTGCTGCATATATAACTTAAATTATTATTCATATGTCGGTAATAATTGTTATATCTAATAGTACTGATGTGTCTGATGAATTTGGGAAGACAACGTGAGGCCTTTAGTTTCACATCATCATATTTTATATAGCAAGCTGTTTTTTATGCTTTGGATAGCTTATTCTGATCACAAAATTGTATTGACTTTTCCACTTTCCTCACCACACCCAGTTTTGCTTAAATGGTAGCTCATACCTCTGACCATTTCTTTCCACTAACATGGCCACAAGACTAGTTCAAGCCCTCAGTAAGGTTATCTCAAGGATTATTCTCCTGATTGGTCTTCATGCTTTCTATCTACTTTCTCCAATCCATCCTTTGCATAGCTTTCAAATTAACTTTCTTAAGATATTATCTCAACACAACATTTCCATGATGAAAAATGACAGTTGCTCACTATTGTCTTTATTATAAAAATATTTTTCCCTCTAGCCTTTAAAGTCTTTCACAATCTGGTTCCATTTTCCTTTTCAGAGTTACAAGGTTATCCAACTTCATTTGCCCTACTTTACATTCTCATCAAACTGGCCTAATTTCTAAGATAAGCATTATTTTATGTGCCTGGAATATATTTCCTCCTCATTTTTTTTTTTCTCTTAAAAGCCTTTACTTCTTCTAAGGCTTGGTTTAGGTGTCATATCCTACTAAAAGATTTTCCTGATTTTCTAGTTCTTAATGTTTCTCCTTTATTTTTTTGAAAATTTTCAAGGATTTACTTATCTTGGCAGGTTTTTTTTTTCTTTCTCTCAGGAAAATGTAAGCTTTTTGATGGCAAGTGTGTTTATGAGTGGGTAGGGTGCCTTAATAGCACCAGCAGCTAGGCATAGTGCCTTGCACAAAGTATTTAATAAAATGTATATTGAATATTTTTAAATTGAAGAAATTCAATGGGTTTATTTTATTTTTTACAATACAGATGTGTCTTGAATGTAATCTGAGTCACTTTACTATTATATTATACTTTTAATGAAATTTTAAGAGAAGCATCCTTCTTATATATAGCCTCCATTTTTGGATACCCTAACAAAGAACCTATCACATGTGTTTAATGACTATGCCCTTCCATATACTGGAAATATTCAATTCTTATTCTTGAAGAATAGGTAACTATATCTGGGTAAACTGCCTTTTCACTTAGATCAGGGGTGGGGGAGCTGCAGACTCAAGGTCATGTGTGGCCGTCTAGGTCCTCAGATATGGCCCTTTGGATTCAGTCAAAGGGCTGCATTTGAGACCTACAGGGACACATGTGGCCTCAAGGCTACAAGTTCCCCACACCTGATTTAGATTCTCATAGCAGGGTCATCAACATTTGATACAAAATACTATATCTACAACAGAAGATAATGCTTAGAGACATCACCTATTTCTGTGTAAAAAGTTATGTGGACTTTTGAAAAATAGTAACAAAAGTTTGAATTATTTAAATTTCAAATTAAACTAATGTTCTCCCTCCCAAATTACTACATGATCCTGCCCTTGGAAGACATATGCATCATTTTTGTTGTTGTTGTTGTTTTTCCAAAGCAATATGTTAACCAAAATTCAGGGAATGTAAAACATTAAGGGACCATATATCTTTAAAATGACAATCTTCATCAGTTTTAAAGACCTCAAATAAAGAGGTTCATATTTCAACATAAATTCATGAAACTTAAAAATTAATGTTGCTTTCAGTAAAATATATACTTCCTAAGGCACTGTTGGATATCTGTTTTTATATCCCCTAACTCAGAGAACATTGCTGTTCCTATACTAGGTGTTTAATAAATATTGACATCCTACAATTGGTATTAATTTTGTCAAAGCTTTATCTTATTATCAATGTCATTTAAGGTTAATTCTTGCCATCAAAAACATTAAAATCTCATTGATATATTTTCTACTACTCTAATAATTTTTTTCATCTTTATTTTTAACTTGCTAGGAAAGGAAGTTATTTATTTTCATTCATAGGTAAAAATGGCAAAACAGGTTGCTATTCAGACTGTTATCAGGAATACTAAAAAGCAAAATTGCTGTCCTGACTTTATTTTATTTTTGGATGGGTTTGTGAATGAAGCACTTTATAACCTATAAATAAAAATGTTATTATTTTATTATTTACGTATTCATTACTATTTGAATTGTTTCATGTAAGGATCAAACAAAATGGTTTCTGTAGTGAAAGCTGAAAGAAAAATAAACTGTTTACAGGTTGTTATTGGTGGTGGCTTTTTGTTTTTGTTTTTTGGGTTTTTTTTGCCTAATACATTGTCTAATTCCCATATATCCCCTACTTTCATTCAAAAACATTTTTTTAATTAAAAAAATAAAATAATTTAAAAGACTTCTTAATTAAAAATTAATAAATTGGCCACAGATTATTATTAGCTAGATGTTAATAAATGACAAAGCTAAAATAATATGATATATATGGGGTGGGGGTAGTTTTGTCTTTCATTTCTAACGTTTTTGAATATACTTACGCTGATTTTTGTTCCATCATTGTCTAGGTCTCTTTCTGGTAAGAGCTCCACCTGTTGGAGAAATATAACATTGCTTCAAAAAAGGCATGACTGAGCCTTGTGCTTTAGAATGTCCCTGGAAAAGCTGAAGACAACCAGAAACTCACTCGTATGCTAAGTCTGCCACCTATAGACAGAACATCGTTTTCCCCTTTCAGAAAATAAGGATTTTTGCTTTGCAGACAGCTATTTATTCATTTATTTTACGTTTACTTTTTTTTTTTTTCCTTTTTCCTTACAGGAAAACCAAGTGAGCCCACTTACAGGAGAGCCAGCTTTTAAAACACCAGTTTTTGTTTATTTGTTTGTTTGTTTTTCTTTTGGAGAAGTGATGAACTGCAAAGGTTCACAGTGGCATCAGGGAAGGAAGCCTGCTAGGTGGTTATTTATTTATTTATTTAGTCTCCAGGATAAAAAGCTTTAGTGCTGGAGAAGGCAAGGGACAACTAGGTCTTACAGAATTCTCCCTCTTAATCTTTTATTCCAGTTCTGGTCTGTTTGAATTCAGTTTATGGCTTTATGGTTTAATGGTTTATGGATAAGAAAAAAAAGAGAGAGAAAGGGTCTATGACAGGTAAGGTGCACATGAATATTCTTTTGTTAATACTGGATCTTCTGATCTGATATTAGGATATCAACTGATATTAGGGTAATTCCAGTAGATGATGATTGAAATAAACTCTCTCTCTCTCTCTCTCTCTCTCTCTCTCTCCTCCCCCCCCACCTCTCTCTCATTTATTTTATTCTATTTAAGTAAAACAATGGCAAAAGAGGAAAGAAAAGAAGAAGGTCGTTTTTCTTCCAGTCCATATAAGGGGTGACATGGCATATAAAAGAGAGCAATATAACATTGAAATCATCAAATTTAGTTGCAAGTCTCAATGCCACTGTTATTACAAACTGATGAACTGACATTATACTCCCTTTAATAGAAGACAGATTCTTAAATTTAAATGTGACCTAAGAAGGAATCTACTTGAACAATGGCCTTGCCATGCTAGGTATTCCTTAATGTGTATATTACTTGTGGCTTATGGTACAACCAAGCTCTAAAAGAAGCAAGCACAAAATTGCTTCAAGACACCCCTAGAGCTTCAGACTTTGCTTTCGGTGGCTGTTTACTTACAGGAGATGGGGGTGAGGATGAAGAGGGAAAGCCTATGGCTGGGTTGGAATATACCTGAGCACCTGTCACCTCTGCTCCAGTCTCCTGGTCCTCAGCTGCCCGCAAAAACCACCACTGAATCTCCAAGTAAACTGAGGCAGAACCACTCTGGAAAGCACATGACATTTCCACATTCTGCCCCTCAGTTGCTGTAACATTTCGAGGAAACTCGGTAAATTTTGCTGGAAAAAAAAAAAGATGTATGATTTGAATTTGTATTTCTTTTATTTTTCTTCCTTCCCTTCACATTTCTTCTCACTTGCTTTCTTTTTTTTTAAAATAAATGACCTTTATCATGTTTGCCTTTCCCTTGCTTTCTCTCTCAGTTCCCTTCTGACTTCTATCCCATTTTGTATAATATGCTTATATCACTTTCGTCTTCTTATGACCAAATAATGGGAAAGCTAACTAGCTTACCAATCACTCCCTTGAGCTGGCCAAGTTGCTTATAATTAAATTCAAGGATCCTTTCAGTGAAATGCAATATTTCACAAAACTCATGAGGGATTCAGTGTATAGCAATTTAGAAAATCAGCCCAGTTGATGCATTATAACATTTTGGAGGTGAAAGTGTAGCCTGTGAATCATTTAACACGATTCTGCTAACTTAAGTAGATACTATGAATCTTTAATGTTTTAATGAGGGGTTATCATTATGTATCATATCTCAAGATGCACATTTCAGTCACATCAAAAAAGGGTTTGCTATTTTCTCTTCCTTATATTGCATTGTATGCATCTGTTGTTCCTTTTAGCAAACCAAATTGCACTGGTTCTGACAAACTTGGTAGATATCTTCCTTTCCAAATTAACCTTCATCTTTGACTCCAGGTTTTTATTTGCCAATATTGCAGCATTTGAGACTAGCTCAGGACACAAATGCTGGTGTTTTTGAGTGTGGTGATTTTGTTACCATTTTTTTTAAACTAGTGACCAAGATGATTTTATATTTTCTTCTTGTCTCTATACTTGCCAGTACACTCTTGTAATGTGAACACCTGACATTTAGGAAAGTCACAAAGAACACTTCCTTTAGGCTAAAGGCACCCATTTAACAGTGAATGGTAGTACTAACTTAGTTGCAAATAGATTGCATCAGATAGTTGTTTATCCCAAACCCACGGGAGAATTTATGAAAGGCAGTTACTTCCTTCCAGTTCTTTTAAATCCTGCTCCCTAAAGGTCATCTTCATAAGATTTGTGTGTATGTGAAGCTGGGAGTAGAAGTGCAGGACAGATTGTATAGTTATAGAGGAAGGTTGCATGATCCTCCCTGGGCTCACTTTTTAAATGATGGCACCATTACAGGTTATTTTTAATCAATTCACTATTATCCTCCCCTGCAAAAAAAAAAAAAAAAAGACTTCGACTGATTTCTGACTATTTACATTTAAAATATGAAATAACATATCTAAATATCTTCTCATTAATGAATGAAAGAGTTTTCTCTCAAAGAGGCAGTCTTAGTGTAGTACTTGGATTTGCAGAGGCGATGCAGTAATCAACCCAAGCAGTGGCTTGTGATCTGTCCACGGTGCTGAAACGATCACTGCAGCCCTCAAAGTTCCAAACAACTGGCTTTTTTTTTTTCCTGCAGAGAAAGGGCTGCTTGTAATGCAAGTAGCACCTTTTATTGGATCTTCTGTTAGATACACATACAAATAGGAGAGGTAAAAGAACTACGCAAAATAATGGCAAAATTAAAGAAACAAGCCAAGCCCAAAGGATATCAAAATGCATTCTGGTTTAACTGTTCGCCTACAACTGGTGTTTTAGTGATCCCATTGCCATGCTGGGGCATGTTTGCAATGATTTTGTACGCATGAGTGATACTCAATGCATGTACACAGATAGCTCATCAGGACAGTTTTTTTATGCTTTCTGAGTAACACACATCCTGGCCAGAAAACCTGGTTTTCTTTAGAATCCAGTAGGTTTTCAATCAACTTAAAATAATAAAGCCTCCAAATAAAACTCTACCCACACTTTCCAAACCCATGGAATGCTTGTTTGGGAACTCTGACTACATTTGATCATTCAGTGATTTTCAGTCTCACTTTATATACAGGGAGCACTCGCGCGCACACAGCCAACATCGACTTACCTTGAGAAGAAAGTCCTTGCTGTATATATAAAACAGAAAAGAAAATGAATCCAACATAAGCCAAAAAGATCCCCATTATTCCAAAGCCGAAAAGAAAAGTCACATCAGGGTAATCGACACCAAAATGTCTTGGAAGAAATCCGTGCGAATCTATAAAAATGCTCTGCGTTGTTTCCCGAGATGCGACACTGAAAGCATTCTGCTCCTGCTCAGGGGGTGGATTGTCTTTGGGGAAAGGGTATTGAGATGCACAGAAGATAAAATGGGCTGGCTTGAACGTTGTGAAGCTGTAAGTCCAGATCCAGAATAGAAACGGTAAAAAGTGGATATCTGCTCCTTCGTTGCCTGTTTTCAGATACCTGGCAGCTCGTCTAACGTCAGCCTGCTACTGCTCAGGACTGCGTGATCACTGCTCTCCCTAAACACTGAACCAGTCTGAGAAGTGGGGAGTGGGCAAAAGGGGAGGGCTGGAAAACTCCACTGTGCTTGCATTGCTTCAACTTTTCCCTCTAATGGCTACGATGATGCCTTTAACTCTGTACCTGCCAGACAGATCCTCGTCCTGCTGTGAACTTGCACTGGGAAATTGACTAGGAAGGAGATTTTGGCGCATTGTAAACCCAATCCTTCTAAAAAGAGGGCAGGAGGTTTTCTTTCCCTTCTACACTTCCTTATGGTTTCCTCTCTTTTTTTCTTTCTTTTTCTTTTCTATTCTTCTTCTTTTTTGCCCTTTACACTGATATATTCTCTCCTGGCTTCGGATCTGTTTATTCAGTGACTGAAAGGGTAATGCAGATTTTCATTAAGGGTATGTTGGAGATGTCTGGGAGGGGGGAGGTCTTATGGGGTGGAAAAATGAAGTGATTTGAGAAGGGAAGTTTGGGGAATTGTTGAAAATGAGGAATATATATATATATATATATATATATGGAAGATTTGGGTTATATGTGCAAGGTAATGATTTGGAGTGATGTAAATAGTTAATATGAGAGAGTCAAGTTGCTTAGCTAGTTGTTACATGTTTTGGCTAAGAACATTCACAAGTTATGACTCTATGAATTTATTGCTGTGCATTGCCCAACCAAAGGGAAGCTGAATCCATAAGTATGATATAGTTGATAAATGAATACCAGGGGAAAAAAAGAGAATAAAGCAAAGTATGATGCCTCAGATTATTTCTAGAGTTAAAACAAAATCATTCCATTGAAATGTCTTGATTTTCCAAACACTACCCTCAACAAATACACAAGGGGGGAGACATAAGATTGAGGAAGGTAGAGGATCTTCAAGATATTTCTTAACTCTTCACAATAAAGTGCTTATATAATATTCCCTAGAGTCATAAAGACAAGTTATACTATTGTGGAAAACACACTAACCTTGAAGCTTATGGGTTGGAGGAATTAAAGAAAAAAAGATCGTCTGCACTAGGGGAGGCAGGTGATTAAATCTTAAATATATGCTGTTTCTTACTGAGGATTTAAACAATAGAACATATTATCTTAAGGAAAGATACTATGTGTTTTCACAAGGACAGACATTAAAGCCAATTAATTTACATATTTCCCCCAAATATGATTTTTCCATCCATACTGGTTGATAAATATTTTATATCCATTATTATATTGACAAAGTGATATAGCAAATCTGAACTGATATTTGCAACCATGAATTAATCCCCACAGTGCTCTTTCAAGAAGTAAATGCAGCATATGCGTTCTCATTTCACAGATAAATAAAATGGAACAGAGAAAGTAAGTTCATGCCTACACCAGCTGGACAAAATAATCATTAAAATATATACTGTACTTCTCAAGGCTATTTATGTGACTGTTGTTGTGTTTTCTTTCCACTGGAAGCTAAAAATAGTACAAGATTATAAAATTTGGGTAGGGTAAATTCCACAAAAATACTGTGCTCATTTTTTTTCTCTGTAAACTTAGAATATGTGACTTGCAGAAAATCATGATGGGAATTCATGTTAGGATGAGAGTTCAGGAGCTCCTCAGCATTCTTAATACTAGATCTTCTCTTTCTCTTTGATTCAGTCATCTCAGTTAAACCTTATGAAATTTAGATCATTCAAAAGAAAAGAGCTGTATTCTTGCCAAAAGTTACTTTGATGGAGAAAGTGCCATTAGAAGGATAATATGCTCATATTGGCAGAGGGATTTCAACCAATCCTATCAGTTTCCTGGTATCAAACTTGTAGGTTTGTCTATTGCAGTGGATGCTAAGATAGATTGGAGTTACAGTTTTATGAAAACATTATTTTTGTTCAAATTTGCTTTTCTTAAGACTTCATATTTATCTATCAAAATTTAAAAATGGGAACAAAAGTAACATTTTTAATCTCATGCAACTTAAACCTGTTTTAAAATTTGACAAGACCCTTGCAATCTTCGTATGAAAATTTAACAAAAAAGTTGACTGCTTAAATGAAAAAGTTAATGACTTGAACTGTTCTAAATATTGTTTGAAAAAATAATATAGAATCTTCAAAGTAAGTTATTTACTACTAGGTTATGTATATTCAATAGTTCTCATTCTTTATCTTAGTTATAAGAATAACACCAATATCTCATATTAATGATTAAATCTTAAAATTATTTCCCTTAGGAAGAGCAGTTTCCAATAAGAAAAATAAATAAAAGGCTCATATTTAGTAAAGTGACAAGATGGAGTAGTTTTTTTGAAATGTTCCAAAAGCTATATTATCTTTAAAGACATCATAGTATTACAAAAAAGAAGAAAAATGAGGGATATGAAAAGGGAGAAAAAGTTCACAAAAGTTTGTATATGTCAGATAAATCGTAAGATTATTTAAAAATGTCATTCATGAGATCTAACTAGGGATGATGAAGCAAAAACATGTTTCATTTTCCTCACAATGATATCTTGCTTGACATGGTGCCACACATGTCTAATCCTTGTTAGTGCCATAGTTGAAGCTGGTGGATCTCTTGAGCTCGAGTTCTATGTTACTATGGGACTAAATCAATCAGGTTTCTGCTTTACATCTACCACAAATATTGTGAGCAGGAGGCCACTAGGCTGCCAAGAGAAGGCCAAACCAGTCCAGGTCAGAAACAGAAAAAGTTGAAGCTCCTGTGCCAATCAGTAGTGGGATTGGGTCATTGAGTGAATGCTGCACTTTCCAGTCAGGGTGAATTAAAGAAATACAGTTACAAAAAAAATTACCAAATATAATTTAAGTTTTGGCATTTGCAAGCTAGGTAGATATTTTCTCTTAAAAATTTCCTATAATTATTTCAGCTTCTATAACTTTTGGTAATTCAGTACATTTACATTACCTTATGAATATTGCATTATCCCTTTTGAAAGCTAAGGTAATATTTTGTGTTCAAAAGTTGAAATGCTAAGAAAATACAAAAGTGAGTATATTCTACATTATTCTTGACTTAAAAATAATTAATAAAGTGATATGATTGACTAGTGAAAAGTGAACATCATAAGTCTTCTGATTGTCTTTGTAATACTTCAAGTTCATTAAAGACAGAGACTTTGTCTGTAGCCTTTGGAAATGGGAAATACAACTTGAAAATGGAAAGTGTTTAATTCTTCTTAGTTCATTTGAATTGCATTCTTATTTTATTGTTCCTTTCTATCTAGGGTCAATATTGATTAGAGGCAATGTGTTACAGTATACAAAGCACAGGACTGACAGTCAGGAGAGACCTGAGTTTGAATACTAATGGTCACTATCTGCTCACCACTAGAAAAGAAAAAAAAAAGCTTTTCATTATCCTATACCTGATTTTAGTTCTATAAAGTGGGAGTGATAATAACTGCAATTCTGAACTCATAGTTTTGTGGTAGGTGAAAATATTTTGTAAATACTTAAAATGCTATAGAGTTGGGTAATTTCTTTTTAGCTATCTCTCCACTTACAGCCCATATTTTTATCTCTTCTTGATATAATCCATTTTGTGGAAATACCATAGATTTTTTCTCCTAGAATTTGAATTAGACAGCTATGAGAAAAAAATAGTATGACCATTTAAATAGAATAGACAAAGAGAAAAATGAAACAAGTACAACTAGATAACCCCAAATGGAGGAAGAATGTTAAAAGAAAACCAACAGTAGTTCTAATCCCAACTTTCCAGGTATTTACAAATGCTTTCTAATGATAAATCATTTAGAAAGCTTTCAACTTAGATATTTGGTTATCCATACTTGTTGAATCTTCACTTCTAAGTGTAGAGTCTTGATTTAATGTCTACCATTCTTCATTGTAGAGAAGACAATCAACTACTGATGGATAATAATGATCGTATGAATAGTTATATCATTTGTTTTTCATTGTTGTTGTTTTGCTATTGTGTAAACCCAAAATCATGGTGATTATCTACTTATTTTCATTTTTTATTTATTTGATTTATCATCATATACATTGAAGGCCATAATTCTCTGATAATATAAATCCTAATGAGCACCATTCTTTTTGATTTTTCACACCATGCCAATCTAACCTGTTGAAGTAAAAATCTGAGAAGTATCTACAATTCTTCAAGCTCTTTCACCTTTGCATTGCTGTCCATATCTTCATTGTCTCCACTGTACTATTTTTGTTTTTAATTTTCATCTCTTATCTTTCATGGAATGGCCTCCTTGGTCATTATATTCAAATCTATTACTTCTATGCTTACTTCATTCTGTACCTCATGATTTTTGAGCATTTCTAACATCATCCACAGTACAATCAACCATTAGCTCTTCCAAATATGCCTTCCATAACACATTACCACTCTTAATCCATAAATATAATTTTAAATCGTGTTTTATATAATGTCCCTAAGAGATCTTTAAGCAAATTTTGAAAAAAAAATCAGTTTCATACTACCTATTTGAACCATGATCTCATTAACCTTTATTTTGGGGGAAATTAATACAGATCTTGAGAAGTTGCAAGATCCATAGGAAAACCTCTCTTCTGAACTATAATAACAGTCTTCTAGTTAGTCTCCCTGACTCCAATCTGCCTGTCCAATTCATCCTGCACAGATGTGCAGCATTTTGACAGATGTCAGTCATAGGAATTGCCATGTCACT